TTAGAGGAGGTCGGAACATGTGGCCTCCTTGTCGTTTTTGCAGCTGCTAACCAGAGGTCAGTGGTTCAAACCCATCACCAGCTGCTCTGCGGGAGGAAGATGAAGCAATCTACTTCTGTGAAGATTTATAGCCTTGGAAACCCAGTGGGGGTCACTACAAGTCAGAATGGACTTGATGGAAGTGGTTATTTATTTTTTTAAAGTGAATGCATTAGCTGAAACAATTTTTAGAAAAAACAACTGAAGTTATTAAATGACTTTTAGATTATACTCTAAAAAAAGTAAATTTCAGTTTTAGGGGTTGCCTTCAAACATGAGATTACCTAGTTTATTTCACTGTGACAAGTGACTTTTATTTAATGGATAGATAATAGCATAAAGAGCAATTCAGTTGAACAGATATGTAAATTAGTTTAAGGTTTAGCTGTTTAGCCAGTACTCTGGTAGCATAGTGGCTAAGGCCCTTGACTGTTAACCAGAAGGCTGGTGGTTCAAACCCACCAGCCACTCCTCGGAAGGAAGATGGGGCAATCTACTTCCATAGTGATACTGCCTGGGAAACCCAAGGAGGGGTCGCTATGAGTCAGGTCTGACTCGACGGCACATAACAACAACAACAAGAAGCATGAATGTTGCTTAGTATAATGAAGTCAAAGTACATCAGTAATATCTAGATAAAACTGTATGATAGAAAGCCAGACATTGAATTTGTGGACTTTAAAAGAACATTTGGCTTGTGGAATTTGATACCATTATAAATACAATCAAGCACAATCCCTATTTAAAATTAGAAGTTGAATTTACAAGTATAATAGCAAATACATCTGTGTCTAATATGATAATATATCATAGATAGCATGCTGCTATAAAATAAGGTACATAATTATATAATTTATAGAACACTCTGGTATTTATAATAGACTCTCTATTTTATATGAATTTTCACACTAGAAAGATTTGTGAGAGGCTTATGTGGACAGAGTAATGATTTAAATACTAGTGTCTTCAGTCATCTGTGATAACATGCTTAAGTATGGATAACTGCCCTTCCCTGCGAGCTCCAAGACCCATTGCTGTCAAGTCAATTCTGACTCATAGAGACCCTATAGGATGGAGTAGAACTAACCCACAGTGTTTCCATGTTGTTAAGTGCCGTCGAGTCGTTTCCGACTCATAGCGACCCCATGCACAGCAGAACGAAACACTGCCCGATCCCGCACCAG